ATCTCGTGTTTCGGCCACCTGTGCATAGGAGCGACATAATTCACATGGCTCATGAGGAACGCGTGAAATAGCCTGAGTAGATTATCTTCGCTAAGCCCCCCCTTTTTATTGGAAACCCTTGCAATGAGTCTGAGTACTCCTTCAGCATGTCCTGTAAGCTTATCTATAGTACGCCCATGCTGACCGTTAGCTTCAATAATCATGCCTAACATCCGGAGAGAACGAACCCTGGGGATCTCGCACCCGGATGAAGTTCGTACCCTAATATCTGTCTCCTCGGGAGGCCCTCTAGGCTTCGGTCCCCTTCTAGTGGGACGTTATAAAAGCAACTCTGATTTAGAAGGTGAGAGATGGAGGCCCATCTGACTAACGTGTTTCTCGACGAAATGCACTGCCTCTTGCAGTGCTCCTTCAATGCTTTCGTTCGACCCGCCAGAGCACCAGAGGGCGATGTCGTCCGCATAGATTGCGGAACCAATACTCTCCGTTTGTTCAAGCTCGACTGCCAAGCCCTGCATCGCTACGTTAAACAAGAGCGGCGAAATAACCGACCCTTGTGGCGTACCCCGTTGCCCGAGATGGTAAGCCTTTGGTGTTAGGTCACCCAATTTGATAGTGGCCTTCCTACCTCCGAGAAAGGACTGCACAAATCTGTAAAACTTTTCTGCCAGGTCAAGGCGTGAGATGGAGTTTAGAATATGCCTATGTGACACTTTGTCGAAGGCCTTTTCCAGATGGAGACCGAGAATGGCCCTTGTGTCTCGGGTGTCTCTATCTAATATATCATATTTGATGAGTAGCATAGCGTCCTGCGCAGAGAGGTGAGGCCTGAAGCCTATCATGTTGTTTGGAAAAAGATACTCGTCCTCAATGTGCTTAGAGAACCAATCATTTATCACATGCTCCGCCACCTTGCCCAAGCAAGACGTGAGGGAGATTGGCCGGAGGTTCTCAGCCCCGGGGCTGCGCCCACGCTTGGGAATAAGAACCACGGACGCAACCTTCCACTCATCTGGAAAGACACCCGATTCCCATATACAGTTGATCTCTGCCGTTATGACCTTTATCGACCTGTCGTCTAAATTGCACAGCAGTTTGTTAGTTACGCCATCGGGTCCCGGGGCTGACCGGCCATTGAGCTTTTGTAGTGTTTCGCAAACGTCCGCCTCTTGAAACGGCCTATCAATGCACATGGCTTGTTTTCCCTCATATCTTGACCAGGCCGGCCCCGGAGATCCAGCATCGCCCGCCAGAGGAAGATACCTCCGTGCTGAGCGCGTGGCGATTTCGTCATCCTCGTGGTGCTGCCTTTCCGCATGTAGAATTCTATCCGCCACCCGATTCTGTCTGGTTTTGGTCTTATTTCCATGGAGCAGGTGCTTGAGTAGGTTCCATTTCCCACCTATTCGCATCTGTACATTCACCATGTTACACACCTACTGCCATTGCTGTCTCTCAAGTACTTGGCAATGTGTCATAATTTCCTTGTTTAGCACGGCTAGCCTCTTTCTAAGCCTGCGATTGAGCTTCTGCGTTTTCCACCGAGACAGCAGAGAATCCTTGGCCTCCAGTAAGTGTGCTAATGTGCTATCTATCTGATTAACCTCGAGCTCGGTGTGTATCAACTTGGTCGCAACGTCCCCTCTGACACTAGCCATCCAATCTTCGAAGTTCTCCGATGATTCCCCCCCTCTTTCCTCCCTGACCTTTCGGAAGTGATCCCAGTCTATGTATTTGAATGTCCTGGGAGGCTTCCTGCCTACCTGCAACTCTGTACTGACAATATAGTGATCACTCCCTAATTCTACTCCCGAGTTAGCCCAGGAAAATTCCCCTGCCGACCCCACGAATGTGAGGTCGGGAGTCGAATCCTTTGACACAGAGTTGCCAATCCTAGTGGGAAAGTTGGAATCGGTTAATAATGTGAGTCCAAGGTCCGCCGCTGCCTGCCAGAGATTCGCGCCTTTGCGTGTGGTGTGAGGGTAACCACAAGCTTGATGGTGGGCATTAAAGTCCCCAGCCACCACCATGGGGGCCCTGACCCTGCCTGCTTCAGAAACTGCCTTTGCCAACAACGAAGTGAAGCGATGCTGCCCCCCTCTAGAGGAACTGTACACGTTGACGATGAATATGCTATTTTTGAGCTCGCCACTCGGGATAACCTCGCCAAAAAGGTATTCTATTTTGCACCTACCCATCTTTAGGTCATGCTCAATAAAAGTGTGTTTGTTTGAGACCAGGGTGGAGACCCCCCTACCTTCCAGCCCTTTGTTTACGTATGATGTGTAGGCCGACAGAGAAACTGTATCCGTTAATACCTCTTGTAATAAGATAATCTGCGGTCGCGATGCTCTCGATCTGAGGAACTGTTGTAAGGCCGCCCTTTTTTGAGAGAAGCCCCAACAGTTCCATTGCCAGATCGTGAAGTGCAATAAGCTGTTACTCGCAGCCATCATTAGTGATGTCGGCTGATCCAGCCTGGGTGCTACCATAGGTCGCCCACAAGGAAGTAGCCCTACTCTTAACCAGCGACTTCACGCCCTTCTTGGCTCTCAGTTTGCTCAGCTCTTCTTCAAGCTTGGAAGTCCTAGCACCAAGAGATGCCATCGCCTCGGTCATTTGCTTAAAAGTCTCCTTAATCTCCGCCAAATAATCTGTGGTTTGCACCTAAAAATCGAGCTCCTAATTCCTCATATGCTCATAGTGGCCTTTCTCTTTGCCGGCCTAACCTCAGAATGGGTGTCCATTGGAACCTCAGCTATTGGCGACTCCCCTATATTCTCAACGGGCCTGTTGAGCCGCGATGGAGGAGCGGCATTCACCATCTTAGCTCCCTTGATATCTGCTATTTCAGCCTTGAGCTGTTCGACAATGCTTTTGAGAGTAGCATTCTCCTTTTGGATACTACTAACTAGCTCGACGCTAACATGCTCTAAGTCAGCACCCCCCTTTACCTGCGGCTGTGACGTTTTCTTGGCCTTGGTGGCCCACGGTCCCTTGTCAGCCCCTGGTGTTGTGATGCGAACTGAAGACGGGATCTTGCCATGGAGGCTGATCGCCCTCTGGATCGTGATCGGTTGCCCTTAGTTCGGGAGTGACTGCGCTGTGTCGCACTGGCATTCCCTGGCTTGTCAGTGTGCAGTGGTGGGAAGTCTTCTTCCGTGGCGTAGCCTCGCTGAAAACCCAGGTTGGAGTCTTGCCTCTGTCTTTCTTTTCTCCTGTGACGCACAAGATATGGGATCTGGAAGCGCTGCTAGTATTTTCTGTCTGCTGTTACGTGGGCGCCTCCGCAAAGTTTGCACATCGGCTTGCACTCGTGTTCCTCCGATGGGGATTTCTTGCCACATCCCCTGCATATGACTTCATCTGGCGTAGGACATACGTCAGCGCGATGTCCAACCTTGCCACATGCGTAGCAAACATCGGTCTGCCTTCTGAACAATGTGCAGCGAAACATGCTCGCACCGCAAATAACATGATTGGGAACTTTGAGTCCGTCGAACAGAATCACCACCGTTTTCGAGTTTTCGATTCGCTTTGCTTCAAGAGCTGTTGGGTTCCTGTCATGAACAATCAGCACCTGAAGTTTCACCGGTCGATGTCGAGGTCTACCCCTCGCATGACCCCTCTGCAAGTGTCGTCCGCGGCAGCCATATATGCATTGACTTCGTACTCCACGCTGTCCAACGCAACACTGGATATGCTGGCATACGCCATGGCGTTCTTCTCCGTCGGAGTGCTCACCACCGCAATGTTTTGCATGACGTTGGGACAAACTACGTCCTCGGCGATTTCTTCCTCGTCCAGATTCGCCGCCTTGGCGAGGGCGAATGCAAACTTGATTTGGCTAACATGCCTCATGTCAAGGCCATCGCGTGGACGGACCATCACACGCAAATGATCTTTCGGAAGCTGTGGTATTCTTGACGCGGCTATGACTTGCTTTTTGACATTCGTGGGTAACCGACGAGGCTGCGACACCATCGCCACGCCGGGCTTCGCTCTCGGTGCCTCGCCCGTAGGGTCGGGTACGGTTTTGACTTTCCGTCGATTAACAGCCGTGGTCCAACCAGGAGATTCAAGTTCCTCGGGAGAAACATCCTCTCCGTCTGCGCTCAGTTGGCGCGAACGCCCAGGCTTAGCTCAGTGCCTGCTCGACGCTGGCAGACAAGTCGTCCCAAAATGACGAAAAAGGACGCCCACTTTGAAAACTGGGTGTCCACGGGTTCTTGGTGCTCAGGCCGATACGGTGATGATAAAAGGTCAATGGGTGGTGTCCGAACAACGCTGCACAACATTGAAAACTACGGAGCCGATAGGAGCGCGTCCGCACACCTCAGTGACCGCAGCGCCTTCCCAGGGAGTAAAATAAAGTGACAGAATAAATTCGTAAGTTGTTGCAAAAAGGTCACAGTAGCTTTATGCACGCCTCCAAAAATTTAGCCGAGCAGAATTTCGCCTCTTTTTTGACGGTTCACGAACACACCGACCCCCGCTGCGTAACTTTATCAGGCTAATACTTTGAGGAATGATGCAATTTTACACACAAATAGGAAGACAACTACCAGTACCTATTACTGAAATAGAGAAACAGATAAAAAGTACTCATTGTGTTAGCTACAGAGGTCGGCAAAGTTGATTGATATGTGGAGTTTATTGTCACAAAACCACCATATTGTTATGAGAGAAGCCGCAATGAAAGGCTTCAGAAATTTCGACCACCAGGGGTTCTTTAACGTGCACCCAAATCTGAGAACACGGGCATAAAGCATTTTCGCCTTCATTGAAAATGCAGCAGCCGAAGCTGGGATACGATCCCGTGACCTGGAAGTCAGCAAAGTCAAAATGTCGCATTTTGCCCGGTGTTTCATTTCAACCCACTTTACCCTACACAGTATTAAAAATTCGAGGTTCGCCAATGGCGTATGACATTCACGACTAGTTTTGTATGATGACACTTATAAAAGACCCTGCATGTTGAAAAAATAAGAAAAAACAAATTTAAACATAAAGTTCAGTTTTTTATTAGCATGCGTCCTTAGGTAAACAAACAGCATAACTGTGGCTTCAGTTATGTAGAAAATAAGTAGAGCTTTCAGTTACTACGACATTTAAACTTATCAACTTTTTGAAGGCTTTGTTTTTGTTGTTCTTTATTGCCTTGCGAGAACAGACTTAATAGCACTTCTATAAATAGGATATAGTAAAATAGGATATAATAAACCACCCGAATATTGGCACACACAGCGCGGTTTTGCGTAAAGATATATTTTGAGAGTATCCTGCTGTGTTTTCTCACGCCTGTTCCATACTGTGGTAAATAACTCCACGAATATTTTTGTTGCAACGCAATATTAGGAAATATTGCATTAGCAGTAGTGTGGCATGTAGCGCAATGCGCAGCGCTATCTTTTTGGTAAAATATTTTAACGAAAGCAAGCAATTCAAGTCTTATCAGGAATTTCATCCTTGGCATTATTATAGCATGACGAAGCACGCTCTTTTTTTTTCTTTGCTGATCGCTCAATAAGGGCAAGCTAAATGATCTACCTGATGAGGACAATTCAATAGCGATGCTATTTTATAAGAGGTGCTGCTACCATGTAGATAAATATAATGTAATTTTTCTGCGAGCCTGACTGCTAAATGCGGTGGACAGAGCGATCTCACCTGTATTCTAGCTCAGACAGTAGCGGTATTTAGCGCTGCCCATCCCAATTACTTGTTCGAATGTGCTTTTGTAGCTACTACGCGAGCAAATAAAAACAGAATAAGTTGCGAATAATGCCCAACTGGTCGTGAGTGAGGGCCGTTTATAAATCTGCCTTAAGATGTGCCACGGTGAAAGCATTTACGCATGCATGCAGCCATGTTCTCGTGGGCTTTTTAGCCGAGCGGATGAACTGACATGATTTTATGACACCGCGCTTGCTCTGCATTGTGCGTGGCAAGAATCTTGACACAGTGAATAAACGTTTGTCGCTTTCATCGCGACCAGGGCCACGATATCAGTTGGCACTGTGCCATCAAAATAATTTCCTCGCAAATGTCTTGTCGTCACAAGTGCGACTGTGCTCCAGGCGAAGTGTTCGAAGGTGTCACAGCTCGCGGACTGTAGGGAGGAGGGGGACTCCAGCGGGCTGCTGAGCCGGGGACGGGCGCCGCCTTGGCCAAACGGAACATTTCCTCCTGGGCACTTCGGCAAGCCGCACAGAGAAGTATCTCGCGGGAGTGCGGGTCGCCTACCGGTGGCCGCAGGTAGCGGCCCGCTCTTGGGGCCACACTGGCACCTGGGAGAACGTGAGCCTAAAAAAGAAGGTCGGGCATGGTCTCTATGAATTATGTTACAGTTGCACAATGCGTATGACGCTCTGTAAACCTATAGAAAGCGCTAGAAATCCAAGGAGGCGCACTCGAGTGGACGGTGTCTGTTCAATGCCGTTGTCGACAGACGGCAGCCATTAGAGAATCACTAAAGCGCATGAATGGCTTTCTTAACAGATATTCTGGGGCAAGATTTAAAAACCTTTTGCTCAAAGTCATTATGCATATACGTCACTGAAATTTGTGGCTACGGGTTTTTACAATGCTCTTTAAATGTAATGAAAGTTTATGTGCATATAGATATGAAATAAAGAAATGAGGACGAATGTGTAGAGTGTGATTTCAGGAGGCATTCTTGCGAATTCGGATACTATCAACTAATGACGTGAGTGAGTTGAAGATACTTGGGAAAGAATTTTTACAAGAACTCATTTCGAAATAACCATTTGTTTTCAGACAGCGCTCTCAAAGTACGACAAAAAATAGACACACAAAAAAACAGCAGTGTAAAACAAAATAAAGCGCAGATTTCACAGTCTCGTATAGAGAAGCCATTATTGCTAATGACCGAGTGCCAAAAAATACTTTGGTGTTACACTTGTTATGAAATCATGAGGCAACGTCGTAAGCTTCGACCGTCGAAATCTAAACTCAAGACAAGCGCTTACTAACAACCTAATGCTAGTCAGCGCATGTCTTTTTTTTTGTTTCTCAGCTTTCGAATCGTCTGTCTTGGTACTGATGTTCCCCACTTACAACGAAAAATATACTTTTTTACAACTTTGAATGCTCCTTTTCTTGGTTTTTCTTTATTTTCCGAGCTTTTGTTTCAACTTACAATCGCTTTATCATCTTTATACTGTGTGCGTGATGTTTCATTCGTATTTTTTGATAATTCTTTTGTGCTTGAGGGCCTGCGTCTGGTCAAGTGGATAAAGTGTAGTGTCTTCCATTAAACTTCTAATGATTGTCAGCACTGAGTTGTCCTCTCTTTTTCTTTTCATCTGCGTTAGTCGCATTGTAGCCTCTATGAAGGTTTGTCCGCCATGGTGCAACGGTCGTTACGGTGCTCGGCTGCTGACTTAAAGGTCGCAGGTTGAAGCCCGGACACGGTGGTCGCATTTCGGTGAAGGCGAAATGATAGAGACCCGTATACACGGTGTGATGTCAGCACCAGTCAAAGAACACCTTGGCGGAAATTTCCAGAGCCCTCCGCTTCCTTCATAATAATACCTTAGTTCCTAGACATAAAAACCCATATTTTATGTATGAAGCTTTACTGCCCCGCCCCGCCCCGCCCCGCGTTTCATCGTACTTTATATGAATTTTAAATGTTTTTTTTTCAGTTCACTCACCTCCACTTTTTCTGTTTACATTTTTGTTTAACATTTGTGGCTCCCCTTTTTGTTTGTTCTTGCCCCTTTCATTTAGGGCGCATCAGCTTTCTTCCTTCGTGTTGACCTTTTTACTGATGGCTCCCTGGAGACTGCCACGACCCTCTCTGGACTGTGGCAAATAGGCGTGATCCCCCCCCCCCCCCCCACACACACAAATGCACTGCCGAGGCTGTGACGTGAGCCTATGCACTTTCGTGCCGCCGCCCCGCATGGCCACGTTCTTTTTCTATCAAGTGAGCAGGTCTACACTTTCGACGTTCCAGCACACTTCTTAGACAATTTGTATCTGCCAGTTGCACAACGCTGCGGATAGAAACATTGTGTAGTTCTATGAAGAAAAAAAAAAAAGGGCAGATAGCCCACGTACAGTAGGAATCGATAGTATGCGAAACACGAATGATAAAGGTTGATATGTCACTTGCTTCGCATTTAAAACTCGTGGAACGTAGTTTGAAATGTTTCGCATTTAAAACTACGTTCCACGCGTTTCCCTTACTTATATATTGCCCCCTTCCCACCCTTTTTCTCACTATCTTTCTCTTGAGGGATAGTGGCAATCTATCAGTCGTTATTTGAGAATGCTTGCCAAATATGCTCCACTATGCATACGTTTACAAAGATCATTTTGGTCGGCGTTCGTAGCCAGACGGGCTTTCATCATATTTCTACGATTGCTTATGAGCGCTGTGTTACAAAAAATGCCAAGAAGTGTTTGCAGAATGTTATTGCGCCTTTTCTGTTTCAGGAGACCGGTAAGGTTGCTTCTGCCCTGTTATTCGGTAAGAGGGGTAGAAGGAAGCGTGGGTGTGTTGATTGGAAGTGAACACCGAACAAGTTGACAGCAAACGAAGCTGTGGCGAACACGCACCTGCTCCCTTGTCGCACGGCGATGTGCGACGCGCCTAGAGCAGTAGCCGAGCAGCACAAGGAGCAGCAGCAACGTGATGCTCAGTGAGCCGAGGAGCCAGAAGGAGAGGTACTTGTTGGACGAGTGGATTCCCGCCCGCTGTGTGGGATGGTGGGACACCTCTGTTAACGGGACGCTCCAGGGAACAGGCGCCGGGGAAGCTCGACTGCCTTGGAAGGGACGAAAAAAAACTTGAACAACAATAAGGCAGCAGACTTTATCCCACAAATTAGCACAATCAACATGTTTTGCCGATCATGTTACGGGAGTAACAGAAGCGGCAAAGTAATATGAAAAAAAAAATCAAAGATGATGCCGCGAACACCGTTTCTTCGTCACTGGGTGTCAACTGGATCTTTGTGGTTGTGACACGTGTTTGCCTGTATGACCCGGGTTTACAGCCACTAGCACAAGGCTTTGTATCAACCATACCAATAAAGGCGTCATCTATTAGATAGAGATTGTTTGATAAGGCTCTCCGTTACCACCGTCTCACTTTCGTTTTCAATGCCATCTGTCTGCTATCCCTTACTTAAGCATGAACCGTAGCCCTATCAGGGTAAAATAAGTGAGCATGCATGTATAAGCAACAAGTGAATATCTGATGTTTGATCTGTGAATAAGGTACGTGTAGACATGCAGTCCTTAGATTAGATAGATATCTGGGGTTTAACGTCCCAAAACCACCATATCATTATGAGAGATGCCGTAGTGGAGGGTACCCACAATTTCGACAACTTGGGGTTCTTTGAAGTGCGGCCAAATATGAGGACACGGTTCTACAATATTTAAAATGCAGCCGCCGCAGCCGGGATTCGATTGCGCGACCTCCGAGTAAGCATCCGAGCACCTTAGCGCCAAGACCACCACGGCGGGTGGACATACAGTTGCATAAACATTTATACAAGAGTACTGAGACTGATTAAGCGAATCCACATCGGCGCTTCTCTGTCTGTTTTTTTTGTTTTTGTTGTTGACAGGTTTCCAAAAATAACAATCATGCATTAATAGTTGTTCGTGTTTTACTCTTAAAAACTACGTATACGATAATGAGAGACACCGTAGTAGAGGGCTCCAGAACCTTCGACCAGCAGGGTTTCTTTAACGCGGCTGGGATTTGATCCCGAAACCTTAGAATCAGTGGTCGAGCCCTATAACAATACTAGACAACCACTGCAAAAAACAATTATTTATTTGCTCATACAAAAAGAATGTATGCGATGTCAGTGCCCATTAAAAAACACAAGATAGTTGAAATTTTCGTAGCCCTCCACTAGAGCATCTCACATATTCATATTGTGGTTTTGGGACATAAAACACCAGATATTATTATTATAAGGTGTAACAAATAAAAACGAAAAAGTAATACCACTGCGAAATGAGAAATGGCTTTCTAGAAATCAATGATGTTGACGTGTGGAAAGCCATTTTGCTCTGACTGATGACGATCGTGAAAACGTCATCAATATTGGTTTTATTTTCGGGTCTGGACTCCAAGTGGTGCGTCAGGACAATCAATCATGTCATTTTTATTCCTTGTGCATTTCGCTCATTGCCGTTGTGTAAGAGCACTTTCGCATTAACCGGAACACGTGGCGTCCAAGGAAAAGATGTTCTCGAAGGAACCCACAGCTATTCGCTTTCGTCATCGATAAAAAAAAAAAAAAGCTGGAGTCTAGTTTTCCGTTTGCGAGCGAAAACTAGAAAAGAAACATCATCATTAAGGGCAAAAACTTCGCGTTCAGTTGTATATTTTCCTGTGCGAAATCTGTATCCCAAGCTTGTTAGAACGTAAGTTAAGGTTCCATGAATTCAGCAGTACAATAAAGTAGAGAACAACACAGTGTGGGTATAATACGGCTACTTTTCATAAATTTCACTTCTAGGATTTCTGTTTTACTGGCAGCGTGCATTTACAAATCCTTGACATTTCCTTTCGATAAATTTTACCAAGTGAAGAAAAGATATTGGCAAAATAAAGCCCACGAAAATACATTATGGACTCACGAAATATTGCTGCCTTGTCAACGCAAGTGGCTCGCCTGTAATACGTGCGCACGTACGCATGCATGCATGAACTGGTAATCTTAGAACTCATCTAAAGTACTCGTGCGTTTAGAGTATTTTTCTAAAGGCTGTTTTCGGGTGCAGTGTTAAGAGAAAGATAGCAGTAAATATTGGGCTTTAAACGTACGTGTTACCGCTGCTGAGCTTACACTGTCAGAATGATGTTGTCATAGTTATTGTACACGAGCTAATATGTATGTCGATTACTTTAATATGTGTGTAAGTCAAACGAATTGTTTTCGCACAGTATTTCCTCGCACTTTACCGAAATAAGTTATTTAACTTTCAGTAAATCAAACTAATTCCTATAAAATTAGATAAAACTTAAGTAAAGAAGGCGGACAAAGGGTGTTGGATCTAACGAGAATTATGGTATTACGTCGGCTTCATGAATGTGATCGATTGATTGATTGATTTTTGGGGTTCACCATCCCAAAACCGTCATATGATTATCAGAGACGCTGTAGTAGAGGGCTTCGAAAATTTCGGCCACCTGGGGTTCTTTACCGTGTACCTAAACCTGAGCACACGGGCCTACAGCGTTTTCCCCTCCATTGAAAATGCAGCCGCCGCAGCCGTGATTCGATCCCATGACCTGCGGATCAGCAGCCAGGTACCTTAGCCACTAGCCACCGCGTTGAGGCGGCTTCATGAATATGGTACGCGTGCCGGTTTCAGTAGCCTAGTCATTCTGTCTTTCTCGGGTATGAATGAATGAATATACTTTATTTAAAGTCCGGCAGTTTTCGCTGGGCGAGGTGGGGGAAGAGGAGATTAACCCCTGTCTCTTCCCCCCTCCCCCAGTGTCGATTATGATGGGGGTGCCTCAAATAACCGCTCGAAGACCTTGCACCCGGCGGCATCTTCAGCTTGCCGGACGGCCGAAAGCTTGTCGGTCAGCCCGTCGCTGCCGAGTGCCGCCTCCAAGCGACAGCGCAGCTGACGCCGCCGATTCGCAACAGTGACCGCAGCCACGGCGGAGGCCGGCCCCTGCCCTCGCGCGGTGTATCATAAGTCGAAGACATAAAGAATGCATAGACTACATCAATACGCTTAAATATAAAATCTGTGCCTGCAGAAAATCAGCTTTCGAAACTCACAATGTAAGATTCATTCGCATTGCGAAGGTGCTTACACATTAATCTAGTTTCAGGATAGTGCAATTTCGTATTAGAGCTGATGTTGAGCCAACTGTGTACTTACTCATGGTAGGTGACAGCAGCCGCAATCGGCGGCTTCGTTCGGAATCAACTTATCCTTACTCCACTGAGAATAATTCTTCCATGTCTGGAAGGCGAAAAACTGCGAAAAGACACATACTGTGTTGAAACAATGATGCATAATAATAATTTCACTCCGTAAAGTTTGGTTGTTGTATTATCAAGCCCCCAAAACAAACTGCCCTTTACACGCAGAATGCTGCTTGCTGAACAAAAAAAAAGAAATCATAAGATATCATTGGGGATACGCGTGTTTGGTAAACGAGTAACTGCTAGTAAGAAGCTATAGCATGGCAAACGTTTAGCTTATTGCTTAAACTGTTGCTCGTATAGATTGCAGAAGCTTGTCATTTTTCTATTTATGTCCTGGGAATATCAACACACAACTTCCAGCATTTTGGTATGCAGTGGTACAACTTTAGTGAAGCCTACCATATCCTTGGCAAGTTGATATGCCATTCTTGCTTCGGCAAAGGGTGTAGCCTTTAGAACATCGTCAGTTTTGTACACGGATTTTTACGCGACCATTTCAGAGCCTTACCTAACTAGTGTGAAGGTTTTTGCCTACACATAATTGCAGCACCAAACAAACAGTTTATTAAAACTCGTTGTTTAAAAGGCTGCTCACACTTGATACCTCAAATGAAAAAAAAAGTATCACCGCAGCAACTGCTCTGCACGCAAGGTTGTTTCTCAAAATGGATTGTCATGGTACAAAAACGCAAGCATGCTAATGCGTTCGTCTCAGTTTAACCGCTGACTTCGTTTCTTTTTTTTAACCTGTAGTCCTTGTATAGATTTTTTCATTGTGATTCCGCGATATTTATCAATCGAGACAATGCACCTTGTTTGGCTTCTAATAAGTTCAAATTATCAAACATGATATTCAACTTTGATATACATCTTACTCAAGCTATCTGTAGTCAGGGTTTTAAAGTGTGCCTATTACGCAATCTCTGACGACGCGACTAAACGCAAGCTGCTTAGTATTGTATCAATTGAGTTACGCAATTTTTTGTCGCGCTGTAATTGAATAACTAGGCAAGCTCACTCACCAATTTTTCAAGCAACAAAGCTGGCCAAAAAGTTCAATAAGAAAGTTGTACATCGGTTAAAAAAACGCCTAATTACAAGCATTAACCATTTTTACTTAATAAGCATTAGTGCTTTTCTGCTTACTACACATGCCCGCCAAATAAAAAAAAAGCTATTTGACATGCCTACTTGCACGCCTATGCTCGCCTAGAGTTACTGCATATGTTTACTACTTGCTGTGTAATATACTTGCTGTGTAAGTCAATCTATGCGGGCAGTGATTGCCGTGATCCATAACGTTTCGCAAGCAAACGACCACAGTATTTGGGCAGGTGCATTGCCTTCACAGTACAAGCAGTACAACACTGATGGTGGGTGTCTGTGGAATAATGCAATGCAAAAGATAACCACTGCTTATGCTTATCGTTGTCATGAACCACTGTAAGTGGAGCATATCTTCTGTAGGTATATCTGCAGGCAGTACTGCATCCTTGGCGTGCATTAGGCGCGCAGAGGCCCGTAAGCGAGCATGTGACATAGTTTTTCTTTTAGACGTGAACCAGCTTTTTGACTCTCATGTGTGACGCCGTATGTACTTGCGTCCGTACGACCGCAAACGTGTTCCCTTCGCCGCAGGTGCTGGAGTGGTGCCAAGTAGGTTTCACCGCAGCTGAACGTTAACGTCACACTTCCCTCGTAGGTGCGCGCGGACGTCACTCTCTCCCTTAACCCTCTTCCCCACCCGCAACGCTCAACCGCACATCAAGTTTCCGGAAGCACTCTTCCGGCTCGTTTATCTGCGATGAAACTTACTCGAACCTAACCCGCCTCTCATGTCTTCGTGTTTCAAACAAACGTTTGCTCGAGGAAATTCTACCGAGTTTCACTTCAAACCATTCCTTCAGCACCCGCGTTGACGCCTGTTTTAACCGGGTGAACGCCGTGTGCACCGTTGCTGCCACGCATGCCATCAGGGTTCGCTTCGGGAAGATGGTCCATATTTTTTTTTTTTTACGCGATAGCGTTAGAGAGTTCGTGTCGCGAAAATTCCGCCGTCAGCTTCCACACTATTAGTTGTGAGCGAAAAATTGCCCGTGAGCAAAAAGTAAAGAAAGGAGCAAATGAAATTAAGAACAAAATTTCCATTTCCATTGAGGATCGAACTCGGTCCGTCCGCGTGGCAAGCAGGTGTTCTACCACAAAGCCACGATGTTACTCGCGTATGTTTCAGGAAAAACGCTACATAAATGCCATGTAGTGGAAAGAGTCTCAACGCATTTTGTTCGACAGGTGTCACGTAGAAAACTAGCCTATTCGGCGACTTGTAGGCGCATATGGGAGGCCATCAAACTACGTCGAAAAAGGCCGAAATAGTGCAGCCATCGCCGCTAAAAATACATAGGATCTTCCAAACAGCTCTAAAAATGGAGAACTATGTCCATCTAGCAGAAAACATATCATGCCTTTCCAGAGGTGTTCATCAAGCAAACAGCAAAAGCTAGATAATGTGCTGCCATCTCTGAGGCATTGTGAGACTTTTTTGGACCTCTGAAATGGCGAGCGCGCGGCGTCTACCTTGGAGGCAATGCGACTCTTAATTTAGATAAAATAACCTGTGTGTACTATTCGCGCGCGCACTCCGGTACAATCTACTGTGTGTGTGTGTGTGTGTGTGTGTGCGTTTGTGTGTACCAAAACACATTATAAGTATGCACTTAGCAGTTGAAGGGCGCACTAGGGGCCAGATTTCGCTATCACGTTGAACTCTTAAATGCGAAGATTAAGGGTCACACAATTTTGGCGGCCATATGTAGCAAGCCGAGGAACATTGATATATAGCAAATGTAATGCTATAAACTGTCTAATCGGTTGTTTTTCATACTGATTTACAACATTACCATTGAAACTTTTTGACTTGCTTTGTTGCTTCAAATTTTGGTTAATTTACCATGCCCAAGTGTACAACTAAGCGTAGAGTAAAAAATAGTTTGTCTTACTCTCCATGATAATCAGCAACTTGCATCTGGCCTTGTCTGCATATTTTTTTAATGCGGAGCATTTATTAGCCACACAATGTCACGCTTGGGCGTCGGCGGAGGCACCATCAATACTCTTACTGTGTATGATCACGTCTCGCGTATCGCACAGAGACGCGCATGCTCGCGTGTCGTGCCGGCTCAGGAAGACACCTGCTGAACTGTCGCTCCCCTCCCCTTCTCTTGCCTTGCAAGGCCGACGCAGGCAGCATCTGCTAGTAAAAAGACGACTGGTGGCACTGCACAACCGTACACTGGCCACCCCGTATATGTAGGAACTGGATCGCACGTTAAAATTTCAGTCAAGGGCGTCTTTTATTGGCTTCGGTTTTACGTTCCAGGCAACGCTTCTCCTTCATTCAATGAATAAAAATAATAAAAACGAGATAACAATTACACATTTCCAAACCATACCCAGTTACCCAACATTCACGCCACACGTCCACCACTCTGCGACGCACGTACTCCAGTTCTCCCCGGGGTAAGTTTTTTAAGTCTGGCTAGCGAAAGCTCGAGTGCTGTGGAAAGATGCGTTCCTGGAAAAATTAAAGTAATAAGCATCTCGGCTGCTCCATTTGTTCACACTTTGATAAAGATAATATGCAGTGCTGAAGCAGTTACACACAAAGATTACAATGCATTTTGAGACAACTACGAGCGAGTATTCTCAAGCTGACCTTCATCCTAATTATGCACACCGGTGCCGGCATAAAAAATTTGGCAGAGTCCACGTACAATGAGAATCGATCATCTGCGAAGCATGAATGAGGAAAGTTGATATACCACTTTAAAATCACGACAGCGTTACGAGGCGCATGATTGTAGTACACAGTAACCAAAAGTAGAAATGTTTTGCGCACTGAGGTATCTGAATAAGATGCAAGTATGTTGTTTATAGTCGCATTACGACGGCACCACCAACATTTGCAATACCAGCCCCAGTAGTGATAGGCATGTAAATTTTGTCCTACATGACTTCCATGTCGTGCATGAAATGTTTGCGCCAGGTATTTGTGTTCGTCGTCTATTCACGTCATGTATTATTAAATTTGGTATATGTGAAGCAAGCGAAACAGACTCGAGCGTGCTATGAGCGTAGCATGTCATCATGTTTTACATGACTCGCATATAATTATTATCATGTTTAGATGTGACAATTACCTTTGTAGACCATTTACGTCACGTAATACCTAATTCGGTATATGTAAAGCTAGCGAAACGGCCACGAGCGCATCATCGCAGCTTGGTAAATAGCCATGTTCTTACATGACATGCATGTCGTGATTATCACGTTTGCACCAGTCATATACCTTCGTCATCCATTCACGTCACATAATACCAAAGTTGGTATATTTGAAGCTACCGAAACGGTTGCGAGGGCATCATGAGTGTGGCATGTAGTCATGTTCTTACATGACACGCCTCTCATGATGATTCTGTTTGCACCAGTCATATATTTTTGTCATCCACTCACGTGACGTAATACAAATTTGGTATAGATGCGAACCTAGCCAAACGACCGCGAATGCATCATGAGCGTTGCATGTAGTCATGATTTACATGGCTTGCATGTCATGATTGCCACGTTAGGGTCTGTCACCTATATTCCCCATGCAGTTGTGATATCATATACCGGCTTTACAACATGTCATGTGAACAAAACCACCGCAAGAGCAGCAAGGCCATGAAATGTAAATCATGACATTCATGGCATACATATAATGATTTTCATGTTATGACTAGTCACTTATGCTCGTCATACATTTATGTTACGCAATAAAAATTTTGGTATAGATCACATCATCGAAACGGCCAGGAGAGCTAAAAGTCGTCGGCGGCTAGATAGATAGATAGATAGATAGATAGATAGATAGATAGATAGATAGATAGATAGATAGATAGATAGATAGATAGATACGGGCAATGTCACCGAAGTTCGCTAAAAAATGTTTTGCATTTAATGATCGCGCCACACAAGAAGTGAGTAAAATCGAACGTTCAAGGAATCAAG